TACTCTCATAATATTAAAAAATATTATAATAACTTATTTTAATTTTTTAATAATAATCATATAACATTTTAGGAATATTTTGCGCTTATAGGGATATTGAAATAATCTGTGTATGGAAACTACATCCATACAATACAGAATTTGCAGCTACAAAATAGCATTACAAAATTTCTGTAGTATTTCTACAACTTTTATGCAACTTTGTGTTGTAGGAACAGAGACCATAAAACAATGTATTTTCATTTTGAAAAATATTGCTTCCATAACAACATTCTGTAACAATGTTACTTGCAAATTTAATTTCTTAAATACTTAAATGAAAAAAGATTACGTAAAGCAACTCTGTTAAATTTTTGCCGAGAATCGACTTTACATTGAACTTTAAAGCAACTAGCCCAGGTGATGTAAAACCCGCAGGTGACATCGCGGATCAATTATGCAGCGTACGATGTTGCGAATAAGTCGAAGCCTTGTTCGAGATAGATATATATATGTATTCGCCTAGACATATATATATTCTGTTCCCTTGATTGCGACGAACGACGTCTCACGGAAATCGATCGTGTAGAATCGGTATTTATTTTCACAGGCCTCTCGTAGACGCGCGTTGACGAGGTCGCACGTGCATTCATAAAAAGGTCTAGTGCAGCCGGTGCAGCGACCTTGAAGTTACTCATTGAATGAACATAAGGCATACTTGCGAATAACGGTGATCATTGCTGGAATTTTAATCATATATGCATTAGTACCGCGAGTACAATGTTTTCTTATACAAATTTAGCAGTCTTGGTCCTATATTATTGTAATTGATCTACGACTGCTTTTCTTTTAGAAGACACAGTCGACACAAACGTGGTTCTACCCTTAATTCTTGACATATTCAATGAATAACAAAGATAGAATGATACTTGACGACTGTATTTCTTAAAAGGAAAACAGCCTACATCAGTTATTTAAGATCGACTTTTTTACAGTGATTTTACTGATTAATTTCACTGATTAATTGCTTAATTAATCGAATGTTTATCGTTTCGTATTGATTTTAGATCTCTATCAAGGTAGCGATCGTGTAACTTTTTCTCTCAAGTAGAAACATGAAAAGCGAACATTTTTATTAAAAAGTTATATGATCGCGAGAGCGATTGCACTGTTTGGATAGCTGAGCTAACGGAATTAGTAAGCTAGAATTCATGGAATTCTTTGATCATGACATTCCCTATTCAAACTTCAGGAGTGGACTTATCTACCAGACTGGTTTACCTATCTTTCCAATCTCTTAAAATTGATTAAAATAATATAAAAGGCTTTATGAAGTAGAAATTAAAATACAGCTATATATTCATAACTTTGTTACACTTTTATCATCTGCAACCAATATTAGATATTAGATATTACAGGAGACATTAAAACAGTTCGTAAACAATTATGAAGCAATAATTTAATATATGCTGACAGAACGTCCAAAAAGTCATAAAAAATAATGGCGCACTTATAACATATATTTTGTTACAATCGTTTGTTACCAAATAGATTGCTTGGGGCTGGCAGTACTTTAGATCCATCACTGTCGGGAAACGGTTCACGAAACCGGTCAGTCAGTTGCCTCGGCAGAAGGCAGAGAGAATGTTCGTCTCGTGGGTTTTAGAAAATTCCGTTGTTAAAAAGCCACAAGCGGAGGATTCACAAAATTGTAAACGTAAAAACCATATCTCGCCATACCGATATCATGTCGCGGCAGCGGAAACGCGCGCTCTTCCGGATACTTCAAATCATCGTTTGTTTTGGAGTTGTCTTCTTGACGCTGAAGCTATTTCTCGCTGTTATCGGCGACGAGAGCAGACCTCTTCCCATCGACGACGATCTAAGAAAGCTGATGGTAAGTCACTGAGAGATTTAAAATCTCAAGGGGATATAATTCTGAATCGTTTATTTCAGATCGAAGTCGAAGCGGATAATACACGACGAGCGTTGAACATTGAAAGAGTTTGTAAAAAGTATAATTTGGGATTTTATCGAAAGCTCGCCGATAACTCTCTATTCAAGCATCCACCTGCGCCGCAGTATGCGGTCTTCTATATGGACAGGTTTGTAAAAAGTATCAGAAAAGAAGAAGAAAATATATTTTGACTATTAACGATCGATCCTTATCGAAGATTTCAAGGTATCCACAAGATGATGATTTCTGCGCAGAGTACACAACATATCATACTGTCCAGTGTATAAAGCCGGCACCACGACCTGGCTCTACAATCTTTGTCTGTTAATGAACGTGCCCGAGGAGACGTTGAATAGTGGTAAAGAACAGCTGTCGACTATCGCTAGGAGAGTGATACCGGAACTTGAGTATCCTGAAGCCGATCACGTTCTGACAACGAGCAGAAAATTGTTAATCGTGCGACATCCTTTTGAGAGGTTGTTAAGCGCCTATCGTGATAAATTGGAGAACTCCATCGCCGGACGGGAACACGGGACACTTTATTTCTATCGCAAATTCGGGGCCAAGATTGTGCAGAAGTATCGTAGTAAGTCGTGGGAAGAAAAAAAATGAGGGAGAAACGTTGACTAAAAATCCTTTTCTTTATTCTGCACGATAACCATTAAGGACAGATTTATTTTTGCGATTAATTCTTCTGTCGATAAATAATAATACTTTCTTACCTTTTCATTATCATTATGTTTCATAACGTTTTCGTTAAAAACGTAGAAATGAAAACGATATAAAGTCTGCCAAACTGTTCTTTGTTAATCGAAAGATATAGAATAATTTTTTAGATATTATAACAAAATTCACATAAAAATATATAATTTTTTACTGTACTCGATATCTATCGATTGAAAAATTAAGTTTTAAATTTTGAAAATATATTGAATATGTTTTATTTAATTTTATTAAAGAAAAAGACAAAGAACAGCAATGAATCCGATAAAAAAACTTTCAGAAGAAAATTTCACGGAGCCACAGCCGAATCAAGTGATCCGACGCGAGGGTGTACCGCCACCGGCTGGGATGGAACCGATCTTCCGAGAGTTCATCGAATACATGATCGAGACTGACCTAGGCAGTTACGAAGACGATCATTGGATGCCATATTATCTCTTTTGCACACCGTGCCTCGTTAAATACGACATCATCGCAAAGGTATCTAAATTCGCATCCGAGATCGCTGATTGTCGTAATTTTATAATATTTTGCGTTAACACTAAAAGTAGCACACAAAGCCTATAAAGCGTTAAAAAAGCATATAAGCACTTTTTCAGCGTTTTGTAGTCGCTGTGCTACTTTGTGGATAATAGAAATACCAATCGAATTACTGTTAAAATAAAAAAAGTAAAAAACTAAATATTTCATTAGTATAAAACATAATGAAAATATTTAAAAATTATATCTTTTATACAAAATAATATTAATTTAAAAAGTAGAAATAATCAATAATCGGTATTTCTATTAGTATCAACAAAAAAAAATTCAAAAGTGTTAGATATATATGTATTGAAATTTTTTACAAAACATCACACCAGCGATTATTTTAAAGCTCTTGTAATGTAATAATATTTGCAGGTGGAATCACTGTGGAGAGATCAGGTATATGCGATCAATAAATTAGGATTGCAAGATAAGATCAAGCCCAGATGGAGACATAGTAACAGTTACGCTAATGCCTCCAAGATATACTTTAGCCAATTAAACAAAGAGATGGTGCGAAGACTGTATGAGAAGTTAAGGCTGGATTTTGAACTATTCGATTATTCACCTGATGTTTACTACGAATACGCTACGTCTATTAATTAATTAAAGTTGATCGAGTGAACTTTGTGTCAACAGTCTATTAAGAATAATTTTTTTTTATAATAATATAATAATTATCGTGTCTAGAACATTGATGTAAACCATCGATGGCCCACAGAACAGGCATCTCATTCGTGAGATTTGAAAAAAAACAAAAGAGAAAAGTACGTTAAGCCCGTACACGCGCACATGTAATCCTGATAATTGATGGAGCTTAAATCACGTTACGTCACGCGACGAACTTTTGTCGACGAAAATCGATCGACCTATTTCTCACCATACTTAAGGTATCGGACCGGTGGTTTGTCCTAAAGTCAAGGGTCCTCAAGTGGATACGTTAATCGTCAAGGATCGCGACAACCTGAAGCAGGGCATTACCCTGCTAACACGCGGCAAGAATGGTGCCAAATGGATCTCACGCAAATTTCCACAAAATCACATCTAACTTGAATTTCTTTAGAAAGAATAACATTACGATTTTTCTAATTGTAATATATTGAGGTCTATGAGACCAACTGAACTAACTGGATCCGTTCATAATTTTAAAGATCTCTTTTCTTCGTTATTTGCGAATTAACTTTTATATATAATTTCTATAATCTATATATAATTGTGTATAATCCGATATTAAATATCAATATATTCAATCAGCTTAATACAATATTATTTGAGGAATTTCAAGAGTGATACCAAAAAATATAGTTACTGTTTATAACCAAGTTTCGGCGAAGGAGATAAATATATGCATTGCACTTATCAAAAGTCGCATTTATACTAATCGTAAGTATTTCATAAAAAAAATTAACGATATGTTTTATGTAATAAAATAAATAATTTGCACGCGCATAAAATACTGATATTTATTAATCGCGGAAATATCCGATCTTTTACCTTGTTGTGCAGGTCATCCAACACCTCTTGGCCAACCAACCCCAATTCTTCCCAGCTGGGTTCCTGCGGTTTACCCTCGCCCTCGCTGCTACTACAAGTGACACTTTCGTTCCCCTCCGACACGTTCCCTTCTTTTTTATTGTACTGACTACGCCACTCTTTTCGTCCCTCGCCATTCACAACAGTCACCGCACGATCCGTAATCATGCCGCAGGTACGCACGTCCCGTTCATCGTCGTCGTCATCGTCATCGTCAATGAAGTCGACGCCGATCAGACTATCTATTTGAGCATTGCACTCA